CATCAGCCAAGGTATTTCCAGGTGCCACAGAGGGGTTGGTCTACAGGACCTCAGCATGTAGCATTGGGTGGGACAAGATCCTTCCTTCTCCTTGTTCTTCAACCAGCTCTTTGGTTGACCTACAAGAGGCCTCCTTAGCTTTCTTCCATGGCTTTTGAGGGTGTTGTGAGTTCCTCTGTTGGTGGTGTGGTTGCAAGACCTTCAACATGGTGTCGAGAGGCTGTGCATGGTCTTCTTCTTTGCCCCCAGGCCATGTCCAAGCTTGGTCTGCGGCAGATCCACGGCGTGAACAGGATAACTATCCGGAAATCTAAGAATATCTTGTTTGTCATCGACAATCCGGATGTCTTCAAAAGTCCAGCTTCCGACATCTACATTGTCTTTGGAGAAGCCAAGGTGAGCTGTAAAGAGGACCGAGAGGGGAGGCTGTTGTTGACTGAAGAGGGAGGGGGGAGGGAAAGAAGGAGAAAGGGAAGAAGGAACAAGAAATGGTAGAAGGGAGATAGGGGAGAAGGAGGGAAGGAAAAAGGGAAGAAGAGCAAAAGAAAGAAGAAGGGAAGTGGAGGAGGGAGGGAAGAAGGAAGGAGAGATAGGGGAAAGGTGAAAAGGAGGATGGAAGGGGAGGGAGGGAGAGAGAGAGAGAGAGAGAGAGAGAGAGAGAGGCTGACTGACTGACTGACTGGAGGGACATTCTTATTTTTAACACCAGTAGTCCTCAACTTACGCCCACCATTGAGGCCAAAACTTCCACTAGGAAGTGAGACAACTGTTGCCTCAGACGTTTTGCCAATCACCGCAGTTGTTAAGAGAGTCATGATGGTTGTTAAGTGAATCTGAATTCCCCATTGACCCTGCTGGTCCAAAAGGTGGCCAATGGGGGATCACAGTGACCGTCATAAATGTGACTCAGTTGCCAAGTTGTCCGACTTTGGATCATGGGATTGGCACTATGGTCATAAGCGTGGAAAACGTGGTCGCGGGTCACTTTTTCATCTCTGTCTGCCTTTGGTCGTTAAATGAATGGTTGTACGTTGAGGACTTCCTGCGTTGTGATAGATGGGAGTCTGTCTTTCTTAACTGGAGAGACCAAGAGATTGTCGTCTTCTCCTCATCTCAGGAGCGTCCAAGTTGGAGAAATCAGATTGGAAATGTAGATTTAGGGAAGTGGTCCTCTCAAATTCCTGGTTGAAGGACCTGGGCTCTTGGTAGAACGTGGAAGGGTCTTCTATAGGCCAACCATCTGGGACTTGTTGGAGAACGTCTTCTTGGGTGTCTTCTTCTGGAAATGGGCCAAAGCCAGGTCTCTTTCTCCTCCAGAATGGAGGAAGATCTGAAGGCCTTCTCTTCCTTTCTTCTGCAGATCGAAGACCTCTCTCAACAGGTCCACAA